CAATACTAATCTTATCTTTGAAAATACAGCACATAGAATCTCTAAGCAGGGATGAAAATTTACTTTCAGTTCGGTAAATTTCGTCGGAGAGAAGTAATAAAATCGGTACTTCTATCTGCACTACGTAATTTATATTTTTAATTTAAATATTTTTAGTTGAAATAAGCCTAAAAACTTTATTTCAAATGTACATTTTCATTATTTTTGTCGCACTTCTTACTGTCAATTATTCAACGAAAGACAATATAAACTATGAACTAGGTAGGTATGTAGGTATCTACTTATTCGACGTGAATGAAATCAAAACAACAATAACAGATTACTTACTTTTTTTAGGGATTTTGTGACCTGGTAACTAAGACGTTTAGGTCATGTCTTATTTTAATTTTTATATCCTTATTTTTATGAAAAAAGATAATATGGAGTGAAATGAAATGAGATGAGATGATATTGGATGAAATATAACCTCGGTAAAATGGTAGCCATTTACTGAGATTTTTTTGGTGAACTTTTTGGGGGATCCTTAGAAGCTACGTCCAGCAGCTTTGTTTCATTTTCCCACATTTGTGCACTTTCACTGATATTAAACAGTTAATAAATCACCGTTATTACGCATTTTAACCTGAAGAAACACTAAATAGACAAAATAAAACAAATCACACAACTTCACTCCTCGCGTTCCCGCCAAAAAGTCACAGATTACCTACTGATCAACATATACCACAGATAAAACACAAAGATCAACAAGAATTGAAAAAGAAACAAACAATCAACGTCAACCGTTTTTTTTTTTGCGCTAACGTTAGACTTTATCGACTAGCATCCGCGTCGTTTGTCAACAATCAAGAGAGCTCTACTTTGTTCCGAATAAAATTAATAGAAAGCAGGAGGATTTACGCGCAACTCAGACGGTTTGAAGCGACCATAGACTGCCATAGAGGTTGAAACCTACGGGCGCACAGCTACACTATAGCGAACCGCTGTGTTATTAATAAAGACTAAAACGACCGGTTGGCGTTGTATTGTGCACCGACCCAGCAGATTGAATTTCTGATCTAGCCAGGTATCCCAGAAGACCGGCGACTCGGCCTGAGCAACTTGCGCTGACAGCTCTATTAGTTGTAGTACTGGCCGCATTGGCCCCTTCTACCTCTTACTGGCAGGGTTCGGACATTCGGGTTAGAGTGCACGGATATCGTTTAGTTTAAGGTCTATTTAGAAGTCGTCGTGGCCTAAGAGATAAGACGTTCGGTGCATTCGTGTTGAGCGATGCACCTGTGTTCGAATCGCTGGCAATAGTGTAGGTACCAATTGTTCTAATGAATTACGTACTCAACAAATGTTCACGATTGACTTCCACGGTGAAGGAGTAACATCGGGTAATAAAAGTGAAACCCGCAAAATTATAATTTGCGTAATTACTGGTGGTAGGACTTCTTGCGAGTCCGCGCGGGTAGGTACCACCGCCCTGCCTATTTCTGCCGTGAAACAGTAATGCGTTTCGGTTTGAAGGGTGGGGCAGTCGTTGTAACTATACTGAGATCTTAGAACTTATATCTCAAGGTGGGTGGCGCATTTACGTTGTAGATGTCCATGGGCTCCAGTAACCACTTAACACCAGGTGGGCTGTGAGCTCGTCCACCCATCTAAGCAACAAAAAAATTAAAAAATGTGGCTTCGGCAACCTTACATACCCCGCGCATCCCCTGGGAGTGCGATTCTCGTAAGGATTTGATTCTAAGACCAAAAAAAGTTTAACACGCATAGCTGCAATAAATTCTTGTATGTTGTTGTTGTACTCCTAGGGTACCCCGCTGGTACATAAAGCCTTCACAAGTTGTCTCCACTTGACCTGTTTTTGGATAGGATACTTGTATGCAGACTAGAAACTAACACAGTTTGCGGCTTGCAAGGATGTACGAAAATTTACTATGCTAATGCTATGCTAAAACTACTTGTACCGCATTGGTTTAGCTTTCATATAAATTTTGGTCTTAACGCATCAAATATCGAGGTAATAATATCATAGCTTAACTTTGCTTTAACATAGCTGAAAATAGGTAATTAAGTAAAGTATTAACACAACGACTGTGTTGGGTAATTACTCTTTTGAATAATTTTATTTAATATTATTATAGGAGCCCATAGTTTATTAAAACAAATAATTTATTTTTACTGATACAAAATTAAATGCAATTTAAACACACTTTACTTAAGATAATTACGCACACAACGCAGTTTTTTTTAGAATGGAAGGATTACAGGTGGCCCGAAGGCTTTTTCAGGCCAACTGCTTGGTACTCAAAATTTAACGCTCAAGACAGACTGTGATCATTCAAAGTTTTGTTGATTAACTAGCTAATCAACATGCATTAAATTGGTTGCGTATAGCCAAAGCGTACGCCAAAGAATAGTAGAATAATTTAGCATGTGGTTTTGTAACGCAATTTACGCAACATCAATTTATAAATTGTGAATAAAATTATTCTAATAATATTGATATAAATATCTGATAAACTAGCGACCCGCCCTCGCTTCGCTTCGGAAACATTAAAACACACATGAAACCAAAAAAATAAAATAAATTTTATTTAAAAAAAAACTATGTTCATCAGGGACAATGTCGGCTTCTAATGGAAAAATAATTTTTCAAATCGGTCCAGTAGTTTCGGAGCCTATTCGAAACAAACAAATCTTTCCTCTTTATAATATTAATTAATTAATAATTAATTAATTAATTAATAATTAATTAATTAATTAATAATATTCTTATTATATCTGATAAATAATCCTTTATAGAAAACAGCAATGTTGAATTCAAATTAAAGATTACAAATCTCCAATTTCTGTAAATTAGATTCTAGTTTCCTTACCACGAAATAGAACTTTCAATTTAGTGAAGTTTAAAAAACCAGGCCACACTAAATTAATTTATTGCTCTTCCGTGTTAAAATGGAACTATATTATACATAAAGACTAAACAATTATTGAATAACGAATTCTCAAACTATTTAATGTACCTACATAACTTATCTATCGTTTAAAGCTTTGCAACATACAATTTATGTAAGAATTATGTGTTGTAATGTATAGATATTTAAAACAATGCTGACTGATTCTCCCTTTCGCAAGAAATACCTACCTACTCGACACGTGCTTTAAAATAAATTAATTGTAATAATATTGTATTAGGTATATAGGTATAACAAACATTTAAATGTAGGTATATTGCTCAATGCTATTCATATATAAGGTTTTTTTTTATTAATTATCATTTTTTCTTGTGCTAGTGAACAGAAGACAACATGAGGTATTCTAATTTTCTGTGTATTGTGTTTCTCGCAATGTTAGCAGTAAGTAAAATATATTGTTTATATTGTGGTATGCTAAATAGGCATTGAGAAATTTGTTAAAAAGTCCTTTAGTTTATCAGTTACATCTCTGTTACACAAAAAGTTAATTCAATTCAATTATACATTAAGATATGTGTGCATCCCGTTAGCGAAAATGAAGAAGTATTTCCAAATTCTTCAGCTATCAACACTCGCTTCTCGGGTATTAGTATCGAACGTTTTAATATATATAGTTATATACTCTCGTTTAAATCGACCCTCATCGTGAAATATTTATTTTATACTAATTTGTAATTTTGATTTTCTCGATGCAGGTCAGTTCCGTGTCCTGTCAATGCACGTATGGACCTCCGATGCCGTACAATTACAATATTTATAACCAACCATCAGTTATTATAGCAAAGAGACGTAAAAAAAAGAGTCGAAATATTTTATACCCAATTTTAGTCTTGTTGCTATTGGACGAAGGATATGGCTTTTAACGGAATTAAATACATTTGAATTATACGTAACTGTTGTATAAAATATGTCGTGCTGCGAATACCAAATACGAATTCAAGACTGTTTACAGTTTCTTCTTGAAAAATATTATACTCTAAAGTCTTAAGTCATACTGTAACAGAAAACTCCAGTCGAAATTTTACGGCACGAACTGAAAGGACTGGAGAAGAATATTATTTTTCAACAAATCCAGGATGTTTAAACATTCTAAAGATCACTGTCAACGAATAGTATGGTGATCAGAGGAAGGAAATCTTTGGCATATAAATACTTTAAAGCTTCTTTTTAACTTCAAGAATTTTGAACAATCACATAATTTGGAAAATGATTCCATTTTATGAAAACTCTTAATGCACAGAAAAAGCCTTAAAAAAACTTAAATTAAATATAATAATTTTCTTTTTATTTTTGTAATATAAAGATATTACTGCAATTAGCATGAGAACTTAAATTGCCAAAAAGTCAAGAATTTACTATAAACCTACATGACTCGAATAAGATAATAATATACCTACTATAACATTCAATTAAAATGGAGGTATTTTTTAGTTTTAGTTTAATTTTTATTAATGAAAGCTTCGATAATGTTATTTCTCATGAAAATGAAACACAATTAAGACTCCTGTACATTTACATGAGAACTGTAAGCCTTTGTTGTAAACATAAGTTTTAAATAAAAAAATTTTTTTTTGTGACGAAACAAAAAAAGTCCTATCAATTTTCTAGACCTAAACTTAGGCTAAAATCTCTAGCCCTTTGCCAGATTTCATGATTCTAAATCCACAGATCTTTTGCTGTAGATCTTAATTGTTGATACTAATTTGAACTTGATTCTACAATAGTCCCTGTTTCCTTTTTGAGCACCAAATCCAAATCAGTCGCTGTCATGCGTTTTATTTTATAATTGATGCAGATTAATAAACTTTCACTACCGTGCCCTTTTCAGAGGATATTATTTTGGTGCTTCAAACACAAAAAGCCTTTCTGAAACTGTCACTCAATTGAAATGTTAATTATTAACTTTAAGGTACCTACTTTCAATTAAATCCTGGAAAAAACGCGCAGTTTAGAACTTGTGGTTAGAAACACGTTAGGTAGTGCTGTCAAATGTCAATTTTTCTTTTTGACAAAATGACAATGGTTGCATTTCAGTTTTAAAATTTCTCATATATTTATTCGAAATGTTTGAGTGGACGTAGAGTTAACTATATCTTCTGGAACAATTTCATAGTTTCCTAAAGAGAAAAATCTAATTTCTTAGAAAATATCTAACATTCATAGGTGTAATGTGACAATAAATTCGAATTTTTAATCTTATCATATCGATTAGATTTAAATCACAATTGCTCCCATACGGTGGTTTGATTGTTTGAAAATTATGATTCTGCTGTAACCTACACGCATTATGTCCAACGCTAATTATAGTGAAGGCAAGGAAAACTATCCTCTACACGAATGTATTTTTATCGGGGACGTACGCAAGCTATCTTCGTTGCTGAGAAATAATGAGGTGACCCGTAAGGACAAACATGGGAACACAGCTTTGCACCTTGCTGTTATGTTGGGACGTAAAGAGTGCGTACAGTTGTTATTGGCGCACAGTGCCCCTGTAAAAGTAAAAAACCTTGCAGGATGGTCGCCCCTTGCCGAAGCGATAAGCTATGGGGATCGTCAGACTATATCCACTTTGGTACGTAAACTCAAGCAACAGGCTCGAGAACAAATGGAAATCAGAAGGCCTGATCTGATACGAGCTCTCTCACAAATTCAGGACTTCTATATGGAACTTAAATGGGACTTCCATTCATGGGTTCCTTTAGTCTCAAGAATTTTACCATCAGATGTTTGTAAAATTTTTAAATCTGGATCAAAAATTAGATTAGATACAACCTTAGTTGACTTTTCTGACATGAGATGGGAGAGAGGTGATATATCTTTCATTTTTCAAGGTGAAAAGCCACCTACTGAATCCCTCACTGTTTTAGACAACAAACTAAAGGTTTATCAAAAGGTGCGATATGAAGAAACCGAAACAGAAATTGAGGATGAAGTTGACATACTTATGTCCAGTGATATTTTGGCTGCTCAGATGTCAACTAAAGGAATATCCTTTTGTAGAGCTCAATCAGGATGGATATTTCGAGAAGATAGAAAAGAGACTGTAGCTGGATTGTACCAAAGTGAAGTATATAGTATATCAGGCTTAGTACTGGAGTCTAGGAAGAGACGAGAACATTTGTCGAGTGATGACTTACAAAAAAACAAAGCAATACTGGAAAGTTTAACTAAAGGCAACACACAACATTTGGATACTAATGGTGAACCCACGCGGCGAGCTTCATTGAATCCCCCTCCTGAAAGTAAAGTGGATTGGGAAGCCTATATATCAGCACCACCTGGCCAGTATCCTAGTTTAGGTAGAGCAGTGGTATACAAGGAGTCTTCTCGAAGTTTTCGTGCTACAATCTCTATGAGTGATGATTTTCCACTCAGTGTAGAGATGTTACTAAATGTATTGGAAGTGATAGCTCCTTTCAAGCATTTTGCAAAATTAAGGCAATTTGTTGCTCTGAAACTACCAAAAGGGTTTCCTGTGAAAATCGATATTCCGATTCTACCAACAGTCACGGCAAAAATCACATTTCAAAAATTTGAATTCCGTGATGACATACCCGATGATTTGTTCATAATACCTGAGGAGTTTATTGAAGACCCTTTGCGTTTTCCTGATTTATGACATTTTGATATTCTAACACTGTTTGAAATAAGTGAGAGGCCTAAGTGGCTGAGTGAAGTTAAAAGTAGTAAAATGCGGAAAACAATTATGCGTCGGTCATTCACACACAACATGTTGTCTGTTGAGTTTCCCATGCTGTTTGGACTCGGTAGCTCCTATTCCAGCCATTGTGTCATCTTTGTAGAATAGCTAAATCCTAAATATACTGTTAAAAGTGTGGTGAATTGTTTGTGTAGTAGTTCCTGTATGACAGTGTTAGAATTGTTGTAAACAAAATCTATTCTGTATTACTTAATGTTATATTGTTTAAATTTAAATATTTTATTCTTTTGACTTTTTATATTTTGATTTGATTTTTTTTTAATTTCATTAAAATATATCTTAACTTAATACAATGAGTGATTTAAAAAAAAAAAGTATTTTAGAAATAAAATTTATTAGGATTTTTTTTAAATACAATGGTTACACTGGTTGTTCAAATTTTTTTCAGTATTTATTTTAAACATTTAAATATTTATATGAATAAACTGTTTTATAGGCTGCCCTTCATTAAAAAAAACAGATTGTCACTGTGTTGTGTTCTAGTTTAGAGTATTAACAGAAAGTGTAGTTACTAAACTTAAACCTCATTAAAAATGCAAAATTAATGTACAGACTATTTTGATTCTTAATTAGATTTCATTCCATGGCCTAGTTCTTAAGTTAGATGTCCAGAGAACTTCATTGCTTTTCCTACGAATTATTAACAGCCCAATTCTACTGAGTACTTGCACAAATCATGCCAATTTCAATTTCCATTCTAGATAAGTTTACAAGGCCTATTTTATATCAGAATTAAATGTATATGAATTTTAAAATGTAAAAAAGAACAGGGCCATATTTAAGATTTTGTCGAACTGTGTCTGACCTATGCAAATGCGTCACTACTTACGGCCTCGTCAAGAGTTTCATTTTCGTTTACAATACCAGTAACATTCACAGATGACTGTCATAGTTTATGAAGTACATGCATGTTTCACATTAATCATTTCGTGTTAATGGAAAAAGCAAATGAACAATTTCGCAGTGTAGGTACGTTTTAAATTATTTAAAGGGAATGCATCTGACCGTCCGTGTCACCCCACGTTACACGAGCGTCAGCCGATTTTTAATTTTATTGTAGTATTACATTCCGAGTAATGTAGTGTAGGTAGGTAGGTACATTTGTAATATATAAACTATGGTTCACGTTTCTAAGATATCTATACTTTTGTTTTCGTGGACGATTCCCCTAATTATACCGAATAATAAATGCTCCATATTTGATATATAAAAACATTTATTGTACCAAGAGACAAATAATACAAGCATTACCTTAACCACCCTGACTTTAATGTGTGCTAATTATTACAACGACAATACTGCCATTAACAAAGAGCTGCATGGTTGTACAGCGTAAAAGTTTCTCAATAAACAATTGACGTGACAGTTTAATTTTTTAACTACATAACGTTAATGAATTTCTGTGATCTATTTACGGACGGGGACAGCCGAGACAGCTATTGTAGTTACAAATGGGTAAACGTCTGCGCTTTTTTTACTTCTCTTTTATATTTTTATATTTATTGTGACCTTTTAAAGAAAATCACATTCGCAAAAAAACAGATATTGATAATGTTTTCTGTAGCAACGTTAACTTCTGTAGCAACATACCTATTGATCAAGTAAGTAATATTCGTAGTGAATGTTTTAAAATTGAAGGTATTGGTAGGTATTTGCTTTAGTAGAAGTGTTAGAAGACGCAGAATTTTAAGTTCTTGCATCCCACCACATGATGTAATTGTTATGTTTCTTGCCTTTATATCGAACATCTTTTTTGTAAAATAGAGATCATTGTACACAGTACCTATATGTATAAATATGTATTATGTTGCATTAAAAATAAATGGTGATAAAACTGACTGGTTGTTTGATTTTTTTTCCATTCCCTCTTACGTTCCATTGCGGATCTGAAGATCTGACTCAACTTCCGGTGACTACGTAATTCCTTAGAAGCGAAAATTGTATATGAACCTGATACGTCCATATAATAAACAACATACTGTTTACGAAATCGAACACTGTATATAGTATAAAGTTTCTCTTTTTAACGAGAGCTTTAGAAGAATGATCCGTCACACTGGCGATTAAGTAATTGGGTGCAGATAATTTGATATTGATGTTGTTGAAATAGCACAATATTTTTGTGGTAGCCTCGTAGATAGACGAGTTAACGACTCGCCTGGTAATAAGGATTACCGAAGATCAAAATAACGCTTAGTTGAATCTATTAAAAACAGGAAGGAGAAAATATTAGGGTTTACTTAAAAATACTAATGGTAGGCAGCGCCTTGGCTCTATCCCTGGCATTGCTGACGTCCATGGGCGACGGTAACCACTCACCATCAGGTGGGTCGAATGCTCGTCTGCCTACACGGGCAAAAAAAAGGTATTTACTCTGTAGTAAGTAACCAATGCAAATAAATAATTTAAAGCCCCTTGGAACTTGTACACATTTATTTCAAAATAAATTAAATACTAAAAAAAACATGTGAAATTGTATTCAAATAGTGATAAAAAACAACTTCAGCTCAATTAAGAAATCTAATAATTTATTTCTTTAAATATAAAATTTTGACAGGTTATCAGCGCAAGGACTTCTGCGATCTGGTGGAGGATGGGCTTGGCGCAACCGCTGCAACAGAGTCTTCCATTCCCAATGTCACCACCCGCAGGGACACCGTGGAACGTCGTGCTAGTAAACATATCGACGCTTGAAAGGCAAACGTGACCAATACCTGCTTTATAGATAAATGATAGGCAATAACCATATTCGATGCGAAAAAAATAAATATTCTAGGTCTATTAAAATAATTTCAAACCAACAGCTAGATTCGTCGAAATAGATTTTTTTCAGGTATTTCAACTTTAAATTAGTCTACTATAAAGTTCACGCATTGTCGCTTAGTCACGTTTGCCTTTCAAGCGTCGATATATAAAATATATACGTACTCGGAAAACAATTATCGAAAAAGTCAATTCAAAAGAATTTCGACCGGTAACCGTACCTACATACATTTTCTTTTAACACAGAAAAATAGGTTACGTGATCTAAAATACGTCCCCTACTTACCGCTTTGTTTTTTTTTAAGTATCAGTCAGTAACCAATTATTGAATTAAATACCGTCAAACAATGAAAAACATTTTAAAAGGAGAGGTTTTGTAATTTTTGGCGTTATAGCAAAACAAACGTTTGTTATTAAGTATGTATGTACATTGATGCCTATTCTCTAGGGGTTTCTGTCATAGTACCATTAACGTACTGTAGATGGCAAGTGAGTAGTTTCAATATATGTATGTATATATATAAAATTAATTGTGTGGATGTGGGAATTATTCTCTTCCGTGAACTTTATAACTTCATTACATGAACATTCATTCTTTATAATTTCATTCACAGATTCATCTCGCTGCACACTGTACGCTGTCTCCACTCACGACTAGGTAAGCTATAGGTACATCGCATTTTCCTTAAAAGTACATACAAGTTACATAAGTCGTCGTGGCCTAACGGATAAGACGTCCAGTGCATTCGTGTTGAGCGATACACAGGTGTTCGAATCCCGCAGGCGGGTACCAATTTTTCTAATGAAATACGTACTCAACGTATGTTCACGATTGATTTCGACGGTGAAGGAATAACATCGTGTAATAAAAATGAAACCGGCAAAATTATAATTTGCGTAATTACTCGTGGTAGGACCTCTTGTGAGTCCGCGCGGGCGGGTACCACCACCCTGCCTATTTCTGCCGTGAAGCAGTAATGCGTTTCGGTTTGAAGGGTGGGGCAGCCGTTGTAACTATACTTGAGACCTTAGAACTTATATCTCAAGGTGGGTGGCGCATTTACGTTGTGGATGTCTATGGGCTCCAGTAACTACTTGACACCAGGTGGGCTATGAGCTCGTCCACCCATCTAAGAAAAAAAAATCATAGACAAATATAGTATCTATCGTATATCTTATATTAACTTATATTTTCCCGAGTATCGAAGATGTTCACGCGTTTAAGTTCTACAATAAGTCAACAGCGAAAAACAAGTTGTATCGGTACACAAATCTGTTCGTTTGCAGCGACACAGTAAATTTCGATCGCTCTATATTTAATGTCGTAATTCGCTTATTGAAATGCAGCACGTCTGGATCGCGTTTGCACATCTCAATAACAACGTGTTCAGACGGGGAACCGTTTTGAAATTCAAATGTAACGTAAACATTGAATGTTATCCGCACATCTGTCGATGTGATAAACGATGGGGTTACGACATATATGAAAATTTACATGATAATTTTGTGTAATTTATATTAAACGAGGAGTCGCTCACCTTGTTCAGGTATTTCGTCGACCAGCTGAAAATTAAATAATTTTCTTAATTTTCAAAACGTTCGAGTAAAAAAAAAATTCGCTACGGTAAGTAGACAGCAGCTCTTGCATCTCTTTGGTAAGTAGTTGATTTGTTAGTTTGATTTTAGCTAATGGAAATAATTATATACGAGGACAGTAATTTTGATGAAGAACAGCGCTCTTTCATACATATAGATAATGCTGGGCTAATCTTCAGCAAAATCGAGTACCCGCTGGCCCCGCTCCGCCGCCGCACGGCACTGCTAGGAACGCGGGCTCGCGCAGCCGGGGCGCCAGACTCGTCCGGAAGGCGGAGAGGCGCCGCGTGTACCCGCTGGCCACGCTCCGCCGCCGCACGGCACAGCTAGGCCACATGGGAGGTGTACGCACCGCGGGCTCGCGCAGCCGGGGCGCCAGACTCGTCCGGAAGGCTGAGGCGCCGCGTGTACCCTCTGGCCACGCTCCGCCGCCGCACGGCACAGCTAGGCTACATGGGAGGTGTACGCACCGCGGGCTCGCGCAGCCGGGGCGCCAGACTCTTCCGGAAGGCGGAGGCGCCGCGTGTACCCGCTGGCCACGCTCCGCCGCCGCACGGCACAGCTAGGCCACATGGGAGGTGTACGCACCGCGGGCTCGCGCAGCCGGGGCGCCAGACTCGTCCGGAAGGCGGAGGCGCCGCGTGTACCCTCTGGCCACGCTCCGCCGCCGCACGGCACAGCTAGGCTACATGGGAGGTGTACGCACCGCGGGCTCGCGCAGCCGGGGCGCCAGACTCGTCCGGAAGGCGGAGAGGCGCCGCGTGTACCCGCTGGCCACACTCACGCCGCTGCGCGAGGACTCCGAGGAGCTGGACAGCACAGAACCTACACAGAGATACACAAACCGCACTCAACCTTATCCAAACTCAATTCCGACCGCAGTATCCATTATGAATCCCTTTACCTTCTATTTCCAGACGTGACTCTTTAGCGACGGACGTTGGTTCCGATATGATTCTGTAAATGTATTTATTTTAGTTTCATTGAACTACTATGTGAACTACATTTCAACTACAATGTGAAATCATTTTTGGTGAATATGCTACATGCTACATAGACACGGTCTTGAATTCGGTCTACTGGCTTTTATAATGAATATATTAATTAATGCAGTTTAAAAGTATTGACAAATTTATTTTTCCATGAAAGCTTATGATCCGTAACTCGACGAAAACAAAAAAAAACAACACTAAAAAGAAAAGAAGATACATAAACGTCTATGAGCGTTTTAGCCCGCGAGAGAATGAAATAGAATACTTCTGAAAGTTTCACTTATACAATTTCGTTCTACATTTTCGAGGAAGATTCTCTTAATTATATATCTCACTTGAATATACACAGGAGTAGCTATTGTTACTTACTACCAGTAACTAAATTATAATCGGTTACAGAAACGTATCAGTCGTGACAATTTATCATTTGCAGTTCCATTCTTATAGCTCGTATAATAGCCGGCAAACTTCTTGAGCATTTGTTGACGTAGTGGGGGTAAGTTTGCGCATGGTACACTCACGTGCAAAAACATTATTTACTCTGCGTCATAATGCAATGAAATTATTAAAATCAACATATGTATTTATTTATATATTTATGAGAACATCAACAAAAAATATAGGTTAATAATTGTAATAATTTAATCTTGGGGTAAAATAGATATTCCTTCTATTAAGTCAAAACTAGCTGTTGCCAGGTCTTAGTTCAGTTGAAGCGAAGCTGGTATTTGTAATTTTTTTTTTCGTTATCATAATCTTGACCATCATCATCACTGTTNAACCTAATCCTAAGCCTAGGACCTAAACCTAAGAATCCTTGCAACGAAAAAGATCGGACGATACCTCTGGGAATGTCGCCCAGAGGATCCCGTGATCCGCCACCTACGGACGCGCCCGGTGGAAGTCCAACATCTCCCTCGCAGACGGGGCCCACAGCACGCAATGATTGCGTGCTGTGGGCCCCGCCCAGATCCCGGGGAACTCCGGTAATAGCTTAACTGACTTAACTGAAGCTTGGACAATGACTTTTTATCTATTTATATAAAAATGAATTGCTGTTCGTTAGTCTCGCTAAAACTCGAGAACGGCTGAACCGATTTGGCTAATTTTGGTCTTGAATTATTTGTGGAAGTCCAGAGAAGGTTAAAAGTTAAATAAATATGGAAATGTTCAGAAGTCAATAAAAATAACAATTTTGGTTTTTCTTTAATGTGTCTCCCGTCGGACGGATTGCTTTTGTTTGTTTTAAGTTTATTTTATACAAAAGTTTAGGTCTTTTATATATCGATTGAGGCACTACGAAGTCTGCGGGGTCAGCTGGTTTATTAAATAAAAATAATATCAAATTAAAAATCTCTAGCCAGAATACTAATAAAATCAGATCAAATTAATTCCACTGGACCTCTAAGTCTCAGGGTTTACGTTTGCGACTTAAGCACTGTAAGTGATCTATCTTCATGCTCGAGAAACTCGTTAAGCTTCAAAATTTTCTGGGTTAAGTTTTTTCTAGCTAGTCATCCTTTTTAAGAAAATGCTAATAGCTTTGAAATTGTATAGTATTGTCATCAAGATACAGAAATAAAACTTGCATTAGATATACCCCGGGCTTTTAGTTACTTTGAATTTTGTAACAGTACTAACATTTTGACTTCTTTTTCGTAATGAAAATTGTACATTTTTATCCGAAAGCAGCATAAACAAACATTTTCTTTTTTATTAAATTGTCATTGGACTTAAACTCGATTTTTAACAAAGCTACCTTTTAGCCTTTTAGTTAAGTTTAGATAAGTGTATTAAGTTTTCTTAAACTATGTAGTTCCCGGACAAATAAGAAAGAAAAAATAATTAGCATATAAAATTTAAGCTCCTAATACACCCGCTTATTCAATACAACTATGCATATATTATTTTAATTCCTGTAGAGTTGAAATTTTCAAAGATACTTTCTGGCTGGATGCTGTTAGCAGCATTTATGTTAGCATAAAAAGCATCAAGTGCCAATATTTGAAGCTTAGGGTCTATGTTGTTTAATCATAATATACCTCTAAACATATAGTCAGTACAAAAGTCGTCGTGGCCTAAAGGATAAGACGTCCGGTGCATTCGTGTTGAGCGATGCACCGGTGTTCGAATCCCAGGCGGGTACCAATTTTTCTAATGAAATACGTACTTAACAAATGTTCACGATTGACTTCCACGGTGAAGGAATAATATCATGTAACAAACTCGCAAAACTATAATTTACGTAATTACTGGTGGTAGGTCCTCCTGTGAGTCCGCACGAGTAGGTACCAACGCCCCGCCTATTTCTGCCGTGAAGCAGTAATTCGTTTCGGTTTGAAGGGTGGGGGAAGCCGTTGTAACTATACTGAGACCTTAGAATTCATATCTCAAGGTGGGTGGCGGCATTTACGTTGTGGATGTCTATGGGCTTCGGTAACCACTTAACACCAAGTGAGTTGTGATCTCGTCCACCCATCTATGCAATAAAAAAAAAATACATATTTAGAAATAGACTAGTTTTTATACAATAGGTACTACTAGCTGACCCGGCAGACTTCGTAGTGCCTCAATCGATAAATAAAAGACTTAAACTTTATTTAATTCCAAGAATTTTCATATTTATCTACCTTAAAACCTTCTCTGGACTTCCACAATTAATTCAAGACCAAAATTAGCCAAATCGGTCCAGCCGTTCTCGAATTTTAGCGAGACTAACGAACAGCAATTCATTTTTATATATACCTATACTTATATAGATTGTTCTTTTTTTTTTGTTCAACTTGTATCTTAAAGCCTGTCATTTGCAAACGATGTATAATAATTTGAGGTAGCTATTTTTCGCTATTACAATGGCGCCATTAAATAATTTTATAGCACATGATAATGAAGAATAATGCAATAAATTTTTTTTATAACTGTATGGAGCTCAAAAATTCCACCTGTAAACTTCAAAAAAGAATACTTTAACGATAAATTATGTGCTTACGAACTTCGTTAGATAAGTTTTTACCGCCCGATTAGCCTCCTCATGTCTCTAGGCAAACTGTATGAGCGTCTGCTCTACAAACGCCTCAGAGACTTCGTCTCATCCAAGGGCATTCTCATCGATGAACAATTCGGATTCCGTACAAATCACTCATGCGTTCAACAGGTGCACCGCCTCACGGAGCACATTCTTGTGGGGCTTAATCGACCAAAACCGTTATACACGGGAGCTCTCTTCTTCGACGTCGCAAAAGCGTTCGACAAAGTCTGGCACAACGGTTTGATTTTCAAACTATTCAACATGGGTGTGCCGGATAGTCTCGTGCTCATCATACGGGACTTCTTGTCGAACCGCTCTTTTCGATATCGAGTCGAGGGAACCCGCTCCTCCCCACGACCTCTCACAGCTGGAGTCCCGCAAGGCTCTGTCCTCTCACCCCTCCTATTTAGCTTATTCGTCAACGATATTCCCCGGTCGCCGCCGACCCATTTAGCTTTATTCGCCGACGACACGACTGTTTACTATTCCAGTAGAAACAAGTCCCTAATCGCGAAGAAGCTTCAGAGCGCAGCCCTAGCCCTAGGACAGTGGTTCCGAAAATGGCGCATAGACATCAACCCAGCGAAAAGTACTGCGGTGCTCTTTCAGAGGGGAAGCTCCACACGGATTTCCTCCCGTATTAGGAGGAGGAATCTCACACCCCCGATTACTCTCTTTAGTCAATCCATACCCTGGGCCAGGAAGGTCAAGTACCTGGGCGTTACCCTGGATGCATCGATGACATTCCGCCCGCATATAAAATCAGTCCGTGACCGTGCCGCGTTTATTCTCGGTAGACTCTACCCCATGATTTGTAAGCGGAGTAAAATGTCCCTTCGGAACAAGGTGACACTTTACAAAACTTGCATAAGGCCCGTCATGACTTACGCGAGTGTGGTGTTCGCTCACGCGGCCCGCACGCACATAGACACCCTTCAATCTCTACAATCCCGCTTTTGCAGGTTAGCCGTCGGAGCTCCGTGGTTCGTGAGGAACGTTGACCTACACGACGACCTGGGCCTCGAATCTATACAGAAATACATGAAGTCAGCGTCGGAACGGTACTTCGATAAGGCTATGCGTCATGATAATCGCCTTATCGTAGCCGCCGCTGACTACTCCCCGAATCCTGATCACGCAGGAGCCAGTCACCGTCGACGCCCTAGACACGTCCTTACGGATCCATCAGATCCAATAACCTTTGCATTAGACGCCTTCAGCTCTAACACTAGGAGCAGGCTTAAGGACCTCGGTAACCGTACTCGTCGAACTCGACAAAGAGTTCGCCGTGCAACCTAACCCATGAATCAGCTCGCTGAGTTTCTCGCTGGATCTTCTCAGCGGGTCGCGATTCCGATCCGGTAGTAGATTCATTCGCGAAGCAGCTGCTCTTGAGCTGTTAGGTCTCCTTCGGAGGCGCTCGGGTAGCTGTTAGCAAATCCCACCCCTCCTGGCTGAGCCTTTGCTCGCCCACCTGTCCTGGTGAAACTGGAAAGGCCTCCGGGCCACCAGTAATCCTTCAATCATAAAAAAATAAAAAAAAAAAAAAAAAAAAAAAAAAAAAGATAAGTTTTTGTTGTTCACACGAACTTCAAAATTAACTTCGCGCTCTTCAACATTATCCATATTTTATATTAAGTTAGAAATTAAACGAATGCTTCGAATAAATTACAACACATAGAGGGCGCAAAGTAACCAAAAGTTCTGCTTGAATATACATTGCTATTTTTTTTTATTCGAAGCCGAAACGCATTACTGCTTAACGGCAGAAATAGGCGGGGTGGTGGTGCCTACCCGTGCGGACTCACAAGAGGTTTTACCATCAGTAATTACACAAATTATAATTTTGCGGGTTTGATTTTTTATTACACTATATTATTCCTTCACCGTGGAAGTCAATCGTGAACATTTGTTAAGTACGTATTTCATTAGAAAAA